AAAAAAAATAAATTTATTTTTTTAGAAAAACAAATTCCTATCTCCTATATATACATGCCCACACTGAATTCGGTCACTTTCTCCTCATTTTAACTTTTATTTATATCATTCCTCGCCCACCCCCCCATTTTCTCTCTACACCGCCGTGTGTATCTATATCTCTCTATATCAACAGCACCTGGGTTTTTGTTTTTCTGTTTAGATATTTGGGTTTTGGGTGCGGATGATGATGGTGGTGAAGGACGAGTGGGTGAGGGCAGCGATGACGGATGACAGCGTGGTGGTGGAGCTGTTGGTCAGGCTGAAGCAGGCGCAGGCGGCGTTACCCTCTACGAAATCTGCGGTGACGGGCCTTAAATGGGGGATACGACAGCCGAGGTCCAGGTCTGTGACGATGCGATGCGATGGTTCAAACAAGAAGGATGGAGATTCCAACATCAGCACCAGAGGTAGTCCCACTACGCCTCTCTCCTGGAGTGGAGGTGGCGGCGCTGTGTCCCCTTCTACCATCGACGGTTTCGAGGAGACCAGCCGTCACGTCCGCCGCTCTCCACCAGCCCCAGCTTCCAGATCCAAGGTTTGCTCTCATTCCCTCCATCTCTTTCTTCCCCTTTCACATCTTTTTCAACTTCCCATGTAAACCGCCGATCTCTCCGGTGTCGTACGTCCGGTGGCTTGACCGAAATGCCCCTGGGGAGTGTATTAATTTACGTGTCACGACGGTTTCTTTTGGGCTCAGTTCGTTTTCTGGTGTCCCGTCGACGAAACATTCTTGTCTTCGGGGATGGCTACAATTCTTTTTCATTTTTTAGATAATTTTTCCTCCTATTCGTATTTTCCATCAAAATGACCATTTAGCCCTTATTTAGTCTTCTAATTTTCGTATCTACGCCTAATTTTTATTCTTAACTTGAAATCGGATGTTTCCGTTTCCTCGATTGAATACGAAATCCGCCGCTTACGTGGCTAAGTCCGTCAGTCTGGTCAGATCTACTGTGTGTACGGCCGACGGCGATAGGCAGTCGGCGGTGTCATCATTTTCGTGTTTGGACCAAAATACCCTGGTACTTTTTACGATTTTACGAGAGGTGAGCAGTAACAATATTGAGAAAGCGCCTCACGTTTTCTTCTCGCCTCTTTTACGGTCATCTGTCGTTCCATTGTTGGCCCTTTAGATTTACCAAACCGTCCTCCTAACCCCCCTTTAGATTCTAGTTACCTGACCTTTTCCCAGAAAAGGACATATTTTGAGTGGGCCATCCCTCGCACTTTAACCCCCCCCTCCCTTTAACACCGTAAAGCCCCCCAGAAACTCCCGTAGATGATCCAAAAAACCGCCGGCGC